TTCTCTCATTGTCAGTAGGCTCTTTGAGTAGGTGTGTGAAAATATACACAGTTTCACTGAAGCAAAATAGAGGGTAGGATTCAATCAGCTACTTTTCTCTTTTTAGCCTGACTTCATATGTGGGGAATAAAACACAGAAAATAATCATACATGTCACTGAATTTCTTCCTTAATGGCCTAGAATTATATATACACATAAGCACATCGATTTCAAAAGGTAAACTCTGGCTTTTTTAAATCTTTCTTTTGCTTTGATTATAGGCATTTTAGCAAACTAACTCACTGACTGAACTTGCGTACTTGTATGAAATCCATATATATTTATTAAGTCCAATTACAATTTTATTTATGGTCCCTGGCAAAAGAGAATAAAGGCATTAACTTGTTAGTCAAACAATCTTTTCACTTAAAGATTTTAATAAGATTTCTGATATTAATAAGGTTCACACTACTTATATATTTTGTCTCAGTGTAACATCTTACATTATAATAATGTAACTTTTTCAAAACACAGTGCAAGCTTTCCTAGAAAACTACTTTGACTGCATTTTAATGAAATATAAGGACTCTCCCTAAGCAATGCAAGACAAATAAAACTGGAAGCAGATACCTTCTCAAGACACTCAAGATTTTTAACTTTCTATGCCGCCTCTATTTGAAACTACCTTCTTTGGTTTCTGAAATAGCACCTTAACTTCAGAGTCATGTCTTCTTACATTTGGGTAGGCTTCCCCTCTTTCTTTTACTGCCTTCATGCCAGTGTAGTACCAGAATATATCTTCAGGCCCTGTGTTGTAGTAAATTACACAGTGTGGCTTTTCTAGCCATAAGTCTTTGTAAACTCGGTGGTAGAATTTTCCATGAGCAACTGAGTAACTCCTGATTGTTAATGTTATCCACCTCGGACATTTCTGTTGGGCTTGGCATGAAGCAATCTTCTGGGAAGTTCTCTCTCTCTCCCTCAGGTATATAGAATTCTGATGTTGGGACTGGTTAGTTTGATCACTCTGCCAGGCTCAAAAAGAGCCCTCCTAGAGGCAGAAGATACCTTTCACTGCCAGCTGGGAGACGTGAGAGACATGCACTGCTGAGACAGAGACATGAGAGACATACACTGCTGAGAGATGCGAGAGACACATGCTGCTGAGAGATGTGAGAGAAGTGCTGCTGAGAGACATGAGAGACATTTGCTGCTGAGAGACTGAGAGACACTTTTGGCTGAGAGGCTGAGCGCGTTCCTGAACTTGAATTGTAGCCTGTTGCTTCCCTAATAAACCCCATAATCTGTGAGTTCTGTGTGGCCACTGTAGCAAATTATCAAACCCAGCAGAGAGGTGGTGGGTGCTGTGGGAGGAAGGGTTGGTGTCAGGGTTGGTAAAAGGGCTGGAGGGAGGTGGCATGTCTGGCCTTGCAGGACTAAGCCTTGGGCTACTGATAGTGCTTCTGTCTTCCTCTTGTGGGATTAGAGGAGGTCAGAAGATGCAGCCTCCTTGCCCCTTTGGCAGGTCCTCAGTCTTCCCACTTCATATACTTCGCTCAGTGACTTCACCCATGCCTATCACTTCAATTATTTCCTGGGAATTAATGATATCTGAATACCTATCATGCCAGACCTCAATCCTGAATTCTAGACCCTATTATATAATTCCTTACTTGAAGTTATGCTTTTGAGTTGTGGTGCTGGCGGAGAATGCTGAAAGTACCATGGACTGCTAAAAGAACTAACAGATCTGTCCTGGAGGAAGTGCAGCCAGAATGCTCCTTGGAAGCAAGAATGGCCGGACTTCGTCTCACCTATTTTGGTCATGTTGTAAGAAGGGACCATTCCCTGGAGAAGGATGTCATGCTTGGTAGGGTGGAGGGTCGACGAAAGAGGGGGAGGCCTTCAACGAGATGGATTGATACGGTGGCTGCGATGATGGGCTCAAGTATAGCAGGGATTGTGGGGCTGGCGCGGGATTGGGCAGTGTTTCGTTCTGCTGTGCATGGGGTCGCTATGAGTCGGAAATGATTTGACGGCACTTAACAACAACAACAACAACTTGAAGTTACATGAATACATCATTCTCAGTATGTCCAAAATTGAATTCATCATCTTTCCCTCAATCTTAGTGAATGATAATACCATTTTCCATCTAGGTGCCCAATTCAGAAAAGTTGGACACTTCTTCTATTCTCTCTCTCTCTAACCAACAGTCATGAAATCTTAAGAGATTCTATTTTCTAAATGTGCCATGATATATCCTTTCCTTCCCAAGCCCTTCCTGTCCCAGGTCACTCTCTTAGATTGATGCTCAGAAGATCTGATCTAGACCCCAGCAAAAGTCTCTCAGATGCTCTCTCTGCCTGCTGAGTGTTCCCCCTTTTAAATAACCAATTCTCTAATCAAAAACAACAATGCTACAGAAAGGATTAACGTTCTCAAACAGTATTATTTGTTTTAAAATATCTGACAAACACTCAGAGACTATGAAATCAGCCTACAACTAACTGGCCTTGATACCCTGAGTCTCTGGAGATGTTGCTATCAGTACTTTATAAAATTCAGAAAGCACTCTGACTTCCATTATTTCATTTGAGGGGATGGACAATGATAGAATAAAAGAAGGACTGAGGCAGAATGGAGACACTCTGGGCTAGATAAATGAGCAACTTGGTGGGATTTATACTATTCTGCTGCTGCCTCTTCAAGTAGGAAGGAAATAATATGTCAAATGAGGACTTACCTACTGTCACTGGATGCTGATATTACTATCCTTGTTAAAAGAAGGGGAGCTCCCGTGGCTTGGTGCCTAAGGCATCTGACTGCTAACCAGAAGGTTAGAGGTTCAAACCCATCAGCCAGTCCTTAGAAGGAAGGTTGGGCAATCTACTTCCGCAGTGATACGACCTCGGAAGCCCAAGGAGGGGTCACTATGAGTCGGATCTGACTCGATGGCAGTGGGTTGTTAAAAGAAGATAGGTAAAGGGATTCTGAGAAAGCTTTTCTACCACTTTTTCTGTAATAATTCCTGACATGGAAGGAGGCCTTGGGTCACTCCCTACTCAGACATAATAAGAAAAGGACAGTATGACTGCTGTCATATGCTAGCAGTACCTGACCCAGTCCAGTTATAGCAAGAGAGGAAGCAGGGTATAATGAAGGAAATACATTAGGCACTGAGTACTCTAATTAGGTGTGTAACCTTTGCCAAGTTGTTTGATATTTCTGAGTCCTAGTCTTCATTCTCGGAAGTATAAGCAACCTCAAAACAAACCCATTGCAATTATGATGCATAATGACCCTATAGGATAGAGTAGAACTGCTCCATAGGGTTTCCAAGGCTGTAATCTTTTATGGATGTAAACTGCCTCATCTTCTCCTGTGGAGCAGTTGTTGATTTGAACTGCCACCTTTACGATTAGCAGCTGATCAGTTAACTAAACACAGGCATCTTGTTAAATTGTGTTCATTTATTGTATTCTGCAGATGTTGCTTTTTTTTTACAAACTGAAGGTCTGTAGCAACCCTGCATCAAGCAAGTCTATCAGAGTCATTTTTTAAATAGCATGTGATCACTTCATATCTCTGTGCCACATTTTGTTAATTTTCACAATATTTCCAACATTTTAATCATTCTATTGCACACTTAATAGACTATAGTAGAGTATAAACCTAACTTTTACATGCACTGGGAAACCAAAAAATTCTTGTGACTTGCTTTATTGCAATATTTGCTATACTGAAGTAGTCTGAAACTGATCTCACAGTATCTCCGAGTAATGCCTGCAGTTTTTAGTGTTTTTTGCTGCCAAAAAATTGTTCTCTATCAGAACTCTGCCATGTTTCTAATATTTCTCCTACTCCTGGTCCCATTCTCTCATTCATCCCCCAAACCAATTTAAGGCCTCAACCGTGCCCCCTACTTAGCATAAAATTGTGTACCTCAAGTATTTACTGCCCACACTTCAATATCACAATCACATTTAGAGACTAAAAAAGAATTAACAGTGCCTATGATTCTCAAGAATAAGGAAGACAATAAAAAGAACTAACAATCAAGTCTAGCTCAAAGTGAGTGAGGACTGCTAATGGATAGGATGAAAAACAGCAAATATCTGTAGGTCTATGTAGAATGGCACTTGACTGGTTGCAGTTATTTATGATCGTCCACATTAATGGAAGATACTAAGAAATGCAGACAACCAAAAGTAGTAGACAGTCTTCAAATCAGTTATATGTAGTTTGGGAAGTGCTCTGGTTCTTAAATTTAAATAACACTGATTCTGCTTTCTTAGGAATTGAAACTAAATTATAAAATGTACTGTGAAGAACTGAGTTTCAAAAAAAAAAAAGAAAAAAGGAACTAAGATATTTCATTATGACCATATCCCATCCCTTTACCCAGAACTTTTCCCTTTATCCTGTTGAAGAACTACTCATCAACCTTCACATTTATATAAAATATCAGTCTAAGATGAGTTGCTATAGACTGTTATTTTATTATTTTAAGCCAAACATGCAGAAATATGTCCTTTTCATAGATAAGTATTTCAATTAGCAAGGCAAGTATCTTGCCATAACTAAAATTAATGTTCCTATATTTCTTTCAGACTTCTCTTGACTCTTCTGGATACCTAACAGCCATTGGCATTTGAAGCAAGGTCAGCCAATGTCAGAGATGGCAATTACAAAATAGCAAACTCACTGCCATCAAGTCTACTCCAACTCATAGTAACCCCTCCTTGGGTTTCCAAGGCAGTATCTCTACGGAAGTAGATTGCCCAGTTTTCCTTCCGAGGAGGGGCTGGTAGGTCTGAACTGCCAGCCTTCTGGTTAGCAGTCAAATGCCTTAGGCACTACACCACCAGAGCTCCCACAGGTGACCATTAGATGAATAAATAATTGCCCCAATCCATAGATTACCAAGTACTTAAAAAATAATAATTTTTTAAATAATCTTTTTATCTTTTCCCTAGTGTCAAAGATTTCATGGGATGAGAGGAAAAAATTCACTTACTGGGATGGGTCTGAATCACTTCCTTTGCGTTTTCTTGGAAACTCTGTTACATGTGGACGGAAGAATTCTATAGATACAAGTCTTGTCCCTGGGCTCATACCCACAGAAGTAATGCACTGGTCCTCTTCCACTAGCAGTTTATCTATGAAAAACAAAGCACAATAAGACATTCATATTAAACATTAACTTTACTTTATACACATCCCATATCACACACTTTTAATGGCTTTACTATCTTGAGATTTTTTTAAATTTCTACAAAGAACAACACAATAAAGAATGAAAACTAATTATATACACTCAAATATTGGTTATAAATGTATTTGTTAGTTCATTACTTTTATTAAAAAAAAAAAAAAAAAAAAAATTTTGGTTATTAAATAGACTCCTACAGTTAAAAACAAAAACAAAACAAAAACAAAAAAAAAAAAAAAAAAAAAAAACAGAACTTGTTAGTCCAAGTTTATTTTCCCTATTTGCAAAAGAAATGCATGAATACTATAAACTATATGGAAAACACACAAAAAAGTACGAAGGTAGGGAAAAACCATCGAATTTCACCAACGTTACTATTTTGAGCTATTTCCTTTGAGAACCTTTCTGTAGTTATCATTAAAATAATTGAAATCCTATTGTATAATCTGCTTCATTTACTTATCATTGTGATGTAACATGAGCCATTGAAAACCCTATGGAGCACAGTTTTACTACGATATACATTAATTGCAATGAGTTGGAATCAGTTCCAGGGCAACTGGTTTTACTCATGACATAATAACCTTTCAGTGTTGTTATACATTCTTTATGAACAATTTAAATGACTGTAAAATACACTATCATGTAGATGTGCCACAGTTATTTAAACCCTCTCCTATTGTTAGAATCTATGTTTGTTTTTACATTCTCACCATCCCAAATATATATTTTGCTACATAAAGCTCTTTATCTATTTCTAGTTATTTCTTTTAAATACATCCCAGAAATGAATAACAAAGTTAAGGAACATGATTATTTTTAACGCTGAATACATTTTGCCAAATGTTTTGGTTACTCGTGCCGCTCTGAGAGAAATGTGCAATTTTGGAGGCTAGAAGTTCGAGTTCAAAGTGCCAGGCTCTAGGGGCTGGGTGAAAGCCCCTTGACCTTAGGCTTCAGCTCTGCCTCTGCTCCTGGCCCACTGAAGCTGGAGGCTGTCTCCTAACTCAGGCAGCTGCAAGCTGCTGAGGCTGACAAACCCACGGTTGACAAGTAAAAAGGCACAGTCCTGGTATTACCAAACCACACGGCAGACCACTAATTCAAGTCCAGAAAAAGACCCAAAATCAGCAGGGCATGGCAGGCTGCTGAACAATGACTTGGCTACATGCAGGGTGCAAGCGTGCCAAAAAGCTGGAGACCCTTCCTCAAAGTTGTTTCTTACGTATTGGAAGAAGCCAACATCCTTAAAGCAGCTACTCAGCTGCTCCAGAAGATTGATTCTACCATGGAGTTAATTACCAATCTCACCATGGAGAGTAACTATATCCACTGCCCAGCCACTCAACCAGGCCCAGCCAAGTTGACATACAACCTTAAATACCACACCAAACATGATAGTAAAATCGTTTTTGTCTAAAGTGTGGTTTACTACCTATTTTACAAAATGTAAAAATAAAATCACTATACCACAAATTAGGAGCTCTGGTAGCATAGTGCCTAAGGCACTTGACTGATAACCAGAAGGCTGGCGGTTCAAACCCACCAGCCACTCCTCAGAAGGAAGGTTGGGCAATCCTACTTCTGTAGTGTTACAGCCTCGGAAACCCAAGGAGGGGTCGCTATGAGTCGGATCCGACTCGATGGTACATAACAACAACAACAACAACAACATACCACAAATTACCTATAGTTCAAACCTGGGCCTCCTAAAATAACTGTACTTCTTATATTAAAATGGGTAAAATAATTTTAAACTCATTTGTACTGAATAACATAGATTGAAAATATATATATAAGCAATATGCGAAAGAACTGCAGGAAGAATGCAATAAATCTACAAGGATAGTGAGAGATTTTTTTTTAACACATCTCTTGCAGTACCTGATAGATCAAGCTTTCAAAAATAATAAAGATACAGAATATTTGATCCACATGGTGAACAAGCTTGTTATAATATATATGTTGTTGTTGGGTGCCATCAAATTGATTCCAACTCATAATGACCCATGTGACAGAGTAGAACTGTCCCCATAAGTTTTTCTTGGCTGTAATCTTTATGGAAGCAGACCACCAGGTCTTTTTCCTGCAAAGCCACTGGGTAAGTTCAAACCACCAACCTTTCATTTAGCAGCCAAGTGCTTAACTGTTGTTAAGTGGTTAAAGTGCTAGGCTGCTAACCAAAAGGATAGCAGTTCAAACCTACCAGCCACTCCATGGGAGAAAGATGGGGCTGTCTTTCCATAAAGATTTATAGCCTTGAAAAGACTACGGAACAGTTCTCTGTCCTTATAGGATTGCTATGAATCTCAATCAACTCACTGGCAGTGGGTTTATAGATAGTTGATAGATTGCTATACCTCCCAGCTTCAAAACCCAGGATTGCTTATTTTTAGGCACTCACAGGGCACTTATAAAAACCACTAACAAAGTGGACCAAAAAGGAAATCTCAACGATTTTGCAATATTGAGATCATACATAAAACATTTTGTGACCACAGTGTAATTGTGCTAAAAACCAGTGACTAAAAGCTAACTAGAAAATCCCAATATATTCGGAAATTAAGGAACATGCAATTAATAAAAGGAAGAATTCAAATATAAATTAGAAAATATTTGGAACTAAGTAATAGTAATAATATTACACATCAAAATGTGTGGAGATTCCTAAAACTATTGCCCTGAGATAATCTTTGAACTTTAAACCAAAAATATCCCCTGAAGGTTTCTTAAAACCAAGTAATAGTCTAGCTTAACTAGTAAAAAATGTCTTCCTTTAACATCATGCTCTTTTAAGAACTATCTATATGAGATTAAAATGAGAACAGCAACTTGAAAGATTAGAGAGGAGCTATTTTGGTTACATAGTGCCGCTCTGACAAGAATATACCATAAATGTGGAAAGCTTAACAAACAGGAATTTATTCTTTTATAGTTCAGGAGGCTAGAAGTTCAAGTTCAAAGTGCCAGGCTCTAGTGGCTGTATGAAAGTCCCTTGACCTTGGGCTTCAGCTTTGCCTCTTGCTTCCGGCCCACTGAAGCTAGAGGCATCTCTTCACTCAGGCAGCTACTGGCTGCTGAAAATGCCCAACATCGACAAATAAAATGGCACAGTCCCAATGTTCCCAAACCACACAGCAGGCCATTAATTCAATTCCATTGAAAGTCCCAAGGTCGTCAGAGCATGGCAGGCTGCTGCACAATGACAAAGCTACATGCAAGGATCAAGCATGCCATAAGCTTGAGCATTCCCAAAGCTGTGTCTTTTATATGGGAAGCAGACCACATACCCAAATCAGCTACTCAGCTGCTCCAATAGATTCCACCCTGGAGTTAATACAAATCTCACCATGGGGAATAACCACATTTAGTTGCTCAGCCACTCAACCAGGCATAGCCAACTTGACACACAAACCTAACCACTCACCATGGGGAATAACCACATACAACTAGCTGCCCAGTCATTCAACCAGGCCCAGCCACGTTGACACACAAACTTAACTACAACATGAACCTTAGGGGGCAGTGAGTTTTGTTAACGGGGGAAGAATAACTTAGAAAAGGGAGGTAAGAATGGTTGTACAACTTGAAAAATGTAATCAATGTCACTAAACAGGACATGTAGAAACAGGTGAATTGTGCATGTTTTGCTGTGTATATTCACAACAACAACAAAATAAATAAAATTTAGAAAAAAATGTATGGAGGGAGTTAAAGCATTACTTAGAGGAAATTTTAATCTGAAGCTGCAAAAATGGCAGGGAGGCCACATGTTCCGACCTCCTCTAACCCTACAAGGGGAAGACAGGATTACCAGCAGTAACCCAAGGCCTATT